TAGAAAAAAACGACGCTTGAATAAATGTTTGTGCAGCCATAGTTTAGAGTGATGCTATGAAAGTCTCTATTAAGTGAAAAGGATGACGAAATATCAATATGTATGAGTCATATATTCATAGTGAAGATAAAGCAGGTCTGAGAAGTTAATTGAAGTGTAACACAAATTATTGTCTTAATTATAAACTTCGTAATCTTAAGAATATTTATTTAGAGGGAAAGAAAAGAGAAAAGAAGGGAACACCTAGTGAAAAGTTTCATCCATGATAACAATAATAATTGTGTAATAAATATCAACCTCGGAAAAAAACCAGCAATTGAAAAAAAATAAAATAAAAATCCTTTAAAGCACTCGGACGAATACGTTTAGATTTATGTAATAGTATACAGAGTGAAACCGGATATTAGTATAAATATTTGTGCAATAATAGTTAAGAATGGTGCTATGAAAGTCAAAATTGATTTCAAAGGACACTCTGGAGGTAAATATGTTTAGAAGGATAAGAAGAGATAAAAAGAACGGACCTTGTTTGTATAAATCATTATTGAATACATTGATATTCAGTAGGTGACATAATCCACTTTCGGAAAGAAAATCGTCAAGGAGACTTTTGAACCGGGTTGTAGTTTCACTGCAACGGAGGTTCACTGGCAGTCTGTTCCACATGGTTGAGTAGCGAATAAAGAAAAAATTCTGACGTAAGTTTGTGTGGGTTCTTGGAATCGCTAGAATATTCTCCTTATTGCGTAGAGTGTGGGATGATATCATAAGGTATGAAGGGGTGGATGCCAAAGAGTAGGAAATACCGTTAATAAACCGGTAGATAAAGACAAGATTTAATTTGATACGTCTGATCCAAAGAGGTTCTAAGTTGAGTTGTTGACATCTTTGGTAATAGTCTTTGTTATCGGAATACCCCAGAACAGCTTTGGTGAACTTTTTTTGAACACCTTCAATCTTAATCAGGTCATTATGTCTGCAATTACTGTAAACCAAAATACCATATTCAAGAATGGGTAAGATACATTTTCTGTATAATAACAATAATCTCGATTCGATATTATTGAAGTTTATCATTATCAATCCGATGAGCTTTCTAGCTTTAGATACTTGAGATATAATGTGCTCAGAAAAGTTCAGACTGTTGATATATCTTAAACCCAGGTCATGAACAGTGTTGAGAGGTTTGAGTATATGTGTGTACAGTCAGATTTAAGTTAGGGCAGCGACCAATGTGAATAAATCCACTTTTGTCAACTTTAAGTGGCATATTTCACGAAACAGTCCATTCGTACAACTTGTTCGTTTCCTCTTGGATTACCGCTGAAATATAGCTTTCTTTCATGGGAGAAGAGAATGAACAAACTACTTTCAGGTCATCAGCAAAAAGGAAAGGCTTGCCATACTGAAAGAGGGAACACACGTCATTGATAAAAAGGAGAAAGAGTAATGGACCAACCACACTTCCTTGTATAACCCCACTGGTTACATTCACAGGTTTAGAGTAGCAAGATCCAAAGCGAACAATTTGGCTACGTTTTTCTAAAACAGATTTGAGCGAAAATAAAAGGGGATTCTGTATGCCAAATGAAGAGAATTTTAAAAGAAGAAGTTTGTGTGAGACACTGTCGGAAGCCTTACTAAAACCGAAGTAAAGAATTATCTCTGACTGACCAACATTTCTTCTCTGTGTAATTTGATCAAAAACTCCAGGTGCGATGTGAAGCATGAGCGTTTATTCATAAACCCGTGTTGGGATGGGCTGATGAGACTAGCCGAAAGCAAAAATGATAATAGCTTTTTGTGGATAGTTTTTTCCATGGTTCTTGAGAGCACGGATGTTGAATTAATTGGCCTATAGTTAGCAATATTACTTCGTGATCCTGTTTTGAATCTAGGGGTGATAAGGGATGTTTTCCATACAGATGGATAGGTCCCATATTCCAAAGATAGCTTGAAAAGTTTCAAAATAATAGTGCATACACATCATTCTGCTCATAGTAGCGGTATTTTAATTTCCTCAGCTTTCTTTCAAAAGTATTCTGGCCCCTATTAGCATTATAAACCACACGGCCAATAACTGGAGCAGTGCAGTCAAGACAATATATCAGGTTGTGGTATAGATTGGAAAGCGCAATGTCAACATTATTTGTGGTAAAATAAGTTTCCCATGGTAAACATTGAATGAGAGTTTCAGTCCGTTTCCATGTTTGTTGATCAAAATGTCTGCTCTGGTACGTCATTGAAGCTTTAGAGTTCAATTGTATGGCGTTTAAAGAGTGAATAATACTCAGTATAACTCTGTGGTCACTCATAGAATACTCATGACTGGTATGCACTGAGATAGAGTCTGTGTTGATTGTGAACATTATACCAAGTGTATTATTGAGCCTGGTCGGTTTTCGAACCTGTTGAACCCATCCACAAATTTCTAATGTTTCAACTAGCTTGTTATATCGACCTGGTACCGGAGTCAAGCCCCATGTGATTTTAGGCAGATTAAAATCACCTCCGATGATTTTAAAAGTATGCGGTTGGTGCGAAGCAATGAAAAAAATGTTTATTAGTAATCTATCAAATCTAGTATCTGCATGAGGTGGTCTGTATTTGCATTCCACCAGTAGGTAATTCTGAGATTCACAGTTTATAGTAACTCAAGTGGAATCGTCTATGGCATCAAGAGATTTATCCTCAAATTTGCACGCCTGAATGTCCGAACGGACAAAGATAATTGTACCGCCTCCTAATCCACAACATCTATCGGTTCTTAAGAAAACGTAGTTACCGACATTCAAGGAGTGATCGGATATAGATGAATTGCACCACGTTTCCGTCATAAGTACAATGGTTGAATTTACAAGGAATAAAAGGGTTTTAAGATGAGTAATTTTATTGGACAGAGAGCGGTCATTGAACGAAAGAATAAGAAACTCAGAGTTATCATACTGAAACAGGTTAGAGTATAAATCGCAATTGGTAGTTCCATGAATACTCGTAAGATTAGCTAATGTAAGAGTTGTGTTGCGAGGGGAAATAGGTTCAACCACTTTGTCATCATGTGAAATATGTTTACCGTTGCCGGCAGAAAGGCCGGGGGAATTACAAAAAAGTCTTCTCATTGCTTTTGGATACAACATCTGATAAAGGTATAGTGTACATATTGGGAGCCGGACCAAGAAGGCTATTGGTGACCTATCAAATATATATTCCAACCTCTTCGCTTCTGTCCTTTGACTTCGCTTGGTGGGTACGATTCATAATAGGTGTAACTGGTTAGAGAGTTGTCAAACTCCAAATATCTGTGGCATCTTCACTATCTCATGCAAATCAATTGTCCCACTCTTCACCAATGACAAAGATTTGGGGATCCATACACAATATGTCAGATAGAATGGTATTACACGATGATCTCAACTCATTGATGGCATGGATGGACGGATGGTCACAAAAAGTGAGTCCTAACAGGAGTGTCGTGATACAACTGAATAACTACGATTAGTCGTACCACCACACAATATGTGAACTTGTGTTACCCAAAGTAATGGACAATAAAGATTTAAAAGTCATAATAAGCAGAGATCTCAAAACTACTAGCAACTGCAAGGCTGCTGCTGGACAAAGTTATAGGGCATTTTGAACTGTTCAAAGGTCATTTCACGTTTAGATTATTACACCCGACTTTCGTGAGGCCGCTTTCGGAATATGGGATTCAAGCTGCTCGTCCCTGTTTCAAGTATGGGGCGGATATGCTGGATCTGACCCAACGACGAGGAAATTAGATGGTAAAGTGAGTCTCTGGCCTATCTTGTGAATGCAGATAGACACCTCACCATATTTCCGTTACCTTACCGTAGAATACGGGGTAATCTAATATTGGCCTATCGTATACGGAACAATGACATTAGTGCAAATATATCTTATCTTTTCATTCCGTCTAGGACTGATCATCTGAGAGAACATTCGAAGAGAGTTCAGAAACCGAGATCAAATCATCTACGTCTGGAATTTCGTTTCTCACACAATGTAGTGACTTAGTGAAATTCTCTAACAGAACACGCAATATCCGTACTTTCTGTTGATACATTGAAAAACAGATTGGACCTTCACAGCGTTACAAACTGCAAGGGTTGGTAAATGTCGATAGAACTTCTATCCTTAATAATAAAAATCTAGCTGAAGGCGCTTGATCATGCATCCGCACCAGATCACGAGTAAGTATGCCACGCTACACGTCTACAACACTAGATTAATCACCTCTCGAAATGTTGATAGCCTGTCGAATATGTCCCCAAACCTCTTCACTTCGGACTTGTTATTTGACTGGGTTGGTGTACTTTGATTATGATGAGGATGGCACAGGTATTCAATGTTTGACAACGCTTTTACCAGTAACACCTTCTTGTAAAACTCGTACCCACCAAGAGAAATCAAAAGACAGAATCGAGGAGATCAGAAGTTGTATTTGACGATTGCCAATATATCGGAATTATCTGATCAAATCTGGTTAGCGATTGCAGTAGCAGTTGAGCACGGCGTTCCCACCCGTGATCTGGTGCGGATGCATGACTGAGCGCCTTTAGCTAGGTGATTCCATTAAAACTAATCTGGTCAGCATCCAATGTCGAAAACTTACAGAGCTATTTATTTTGGGAATTTATTTACCGCTACAATGATTACCGGTTAGGGTATCGTCAAACTCCAAATACTATGAACTTGAACGTGGTACTTGCTATCAAGGTCAATCCTTTCCACTCAAGTATGGTTTGTGTTACATCTAATATACAGTCAAAAATATAAATTATGGACGAAACAATCACATTTAGGATAACAGGTCTTGGATTTTGAAGAGGAACCCATTCGTCCGTTTGGCTAAACAGCGTTTTGGCACTTTGGCTGATGTCAGTTCGCGATATAAGCCCTACATCCATTTCCTAACCATCATTTGTAAATCATAATTCAAATTCCTAACACTGGTTTGTAATCATCATTTAGTCCTAGTTAGGTGGACATTCTGAAGGTCACTTTGGAGTCGCTCAAAGGTCGTCAATAAATTACAGGGTCAAGGAAAATCCGAAAAATTGAAGAATTTGTTGTAAGATATATTCTCTAAGTTTTCGATTTGTCAGGTTCTTTGATATACATGGTAGTTCTACACACTTGTCTTTGGCTTACAACGTTTAAACCTGCAAGGCATAACGTTATAGAACATATGTCGCTTTAGTTGGAAAATGCATGGATATTTATCTACTGATACCCGAAGCAGTGGTGTCCGCACCTTCAATTGACTCTTTCAAGAGAAGACTGAACACTCACAGAAGCATACTAGAAAAGGTATAACATGGGCCGTAGGCCTTCTATCCTTACTACACAAATCTGAATCTGAGCTCCTACGGAACTAAAGTAGTCATCGGGCTTAGTTTTGAAAGATGGCATAATTCGCCATTACTATCACGTCCAGAAGTGGTTCAGTAGCTTACTGATTAAAACCACAAGAGAGTATGCACAAAGTTTTGCGGGAATGTCCGTGTTATATCTCATATTGATGTTCTTGTTTGCGTAGTTTTGCACCAAAATGTATAAGTTACTTTAGTGAAGAGGATTATGAGGACTATAATTCATCCTGATGATATTCTCCTAATATTTATGCACCGCACAGAATGAAAATTCAAAGCCTTCAAGGGGACTGAGCAGGATTTATTATTTTAGTGTGAGTCATTTGTGTGTCGCTCTATTTTACATATTTCAAGAGAGCTACATACTTCTTAAGAGACAAGGCAGTTTTTCCCCAGGTAAAGTTTTGAGTAAACATTGAAAGCGGTTTTGAATAATTCTGGAGTCAACTAATTCAAGTTTTCGAAAGAAACCTCAGGACAGTATACTTTATTGTGTCCAGTAATAGAAAGAGATACTTAGGGTATTACATTAAGTAACATGCAGATCGTTTGTTGTGCTTATGAAGGTAATACTTAAATCACCTAGAAACTACGACCTGCATGCACCACTGTTATTCACCATTAGCATCCTGCGTTTTCTGTTATTGAGAATAGCTTTCTAGTGATCCAGTCGTATAATCAACTGTTTGTGGGAATTTGAGTTGTCAGAAGTATCTCATCCATTTCTCAGTCAGTTCATTTCTAAACCCCAAGACCATCTGATATAGCAGAGTCTGGGAATCTGGATTACAAAGTAGGTCGTTAATGGAAAGTACGAAAAACAGAATTCCAAAGACCGAGTCTTGTGGTACTTCTATTGTTTCTGTCAACCACTCAGACAAAGCAGAATGAACTCTAACGCATTTCGATCCCTCTTTTATGTAGTATAAAAGCCACTTCTCTAGATAAACCAATAATATCATTAATATAGTTTTTCCCCCTATATTCTTAAGTTACTGAGTTGTCGCAATACTCCTGTTATTTTTTCTCCGTACTATTTCCTTTCACTGTTTTACTTCGTTTTCCACTATCCATCAGTATGAGAGAAAATCTCCACATAAATTCAGTTATTTGATGAACACGCCTACAAACTCGATCAATCTGACTCCATTGTTGCATAATGTCTTCTTTTCAATATGATGAATTCATCTACAAGCTGGTCGCTTTGAATGACGTGAAAACTGCTAGGCAAAATACAAAACGAGAAAACCCTCAATTCAATCTAGTATGTTAAATGTTTTTGTTACATCACTTTGATGGCTTGTGTGACTGCTAACATGTTACTTGAGATTTGAGTCACTTAGGAAAACTTTAGAAATTTCCGTATTGTGAATAAGGACAACGTATATAAGCGAACAATATTGTTTTAAATTAGGTATTGATTAGGCTTTATACTAGTATACAATTATATTTATGTACATAGACGAAATCATTAAAATAATCAACGCGGTTTATTGAACATTGACTCGAACCCTTGTTACTCTTACTACAGCTCCCGACCGTTGTTGCTGCCTTGACGTGGTGGTCGGGCTTGCCTATCGTGATGAACCAATCGAGCTATACTGGCTGGGACAATCGTTCCTCAAGGTCCTACCATGCCAAACAGGTCGGTTGAAGGGCGGTAAAATCAAAGGCAGCAAACCCAAGGTCCGAAGGCGAAGTCGTACTGCTGACTGTACAGAGGTGTGACAGCAGTAAGATGTTTCCTTCAGACAACCAGCATAGCAGTGATGCTGCCTTCCCACAAGGAGGGGTGTGGTTAGAAAGGTTTGACCCTAGAAATGCACACCGCCTTATCCCACGGATATCCGTCTCCGGCAGTAAGGTCTCAACAAGTGAAGAGCTTACACAAAAATTACTCATAAAAAGGTAGTGTGTAACCGACGTCAAGCAGTTGTCACTTGGGCACTTCGGCCACGCTCTCAGGTCACTAGGAACACCACTAACCCAATTTCCTCTTCAGGTACCTCCAGAAGCACCTTTCCATGGAGTGGGCAACCGGGGAATGGTAACTGCTTTGATATCTCCAACAGCACTCAATATCACTGTATTCATAATCAGCTTCCCTCTTCAATTCCTATTATTCTTCCTGCATTGACTTTCAACACTAAACTTCCTCTTTTGACTTCCTCCCCAAGTGTCACCATAGCCAACGATTCTAGTGCGCAAAACACTGTCCTAGGTCTACTGCAACCTCTCTCCAGATTACACATTGGAGTCTTCAACATGCACACTCTCTGTCAAATCGACCAGCAAACCTCCTTGTCTAGAACCGTAGGATCTCGTATTATTGATGAAGAGCGTAAAATAGTAAAATCTAGGTTAACCAAAAGTTTGAGGAACGACTGTGAACACTGGTGTGCAACCAAAGCAAAAGAAACGGAGAAGGCAACTGTAACACAAAAGAAGTTTCCATACTCGGAAAAAGACGATATTTTAAAGAGCACATCAGCTTGCCTTCAGCGATTCTACAACTACCCACCAATCCAAGATAGCGTGAATGGAACATTGAAATAGGTCCGCCGACTCTATCTGAAGTTCCAAAAGCTACAGCTAATGTGAAATGAGGAAGAGAAGCTGGTCCAGATGGATTGGCTCCAAAGGTCTTTAGGTAATGTGGTCAAATTTCAGCTGAAATCTGGGAGTTGGAAGTAGTCGCATCACTAGTCGCAATCACTGATTGTCCCAATATATAATAGAGGGTCAAAATCATCATGTGAGAACCATAGAAGCATTAGTTTGACTAATACAGCATCTAAAATAATAGCTTAAATAATTATCGGACGCCTAACAAAGACTCGTGAACTGCAAACACGAGAAGATCAGGCTGACTTCAAACCTGGTTGTGGCTGCATTGACCACATATTCACCATTCGACAGGTTATAGAACACAAACATGCCTGTCGGCGTCCGACAATCGTGGTCTTTCTCGATCTAAAAGCAGCATTTGACTCTGTAGACCGAGAGGTTCTATGGTAGTCTGTCATTAAAAGGCGTACTTCAGAAGTACATAAACTTTTTGAAGTCTCTTTACTCGAACACTATTAATCGAGTGACAGCTTGTGGCGAACCGTCATCTGCTTTTGCAACCTCAAGTGGTGTCCGTCAAGGCTGTCCACATTCTCCTTTTTTTTAAACTTCGTGATAGACCTACTGATAGAAATAAAGCTCTCGTCGACTGAATTTTCGTTCATTGACTTCCTACCAGGATGTCCACTTATGGACTTAGCATACGCAGATGACATAGTCCTGTTTAGTGAAGACGCTGATAAAATGCAGTGTTTTGATAGCACTGAGCAATAATGCCAATATGTTTAGGATGCGCTTCTTTCCCTCTAAGTGCAAGTTGTTGCTTCAGTACTGGCGTGCGTCAACACCTGAACTAAGGATAGGGAGTGAAGTAATCGAACGCGTCGACAACTTCACTTATCTAGGAAGTCTGATCAACCCTAATGGGTTGGTTTCTGACGAAATCTTTGCACGGATTCGAAAAGCTCGTTTGACTTTTGCCAACCTTCGTTACCTATGACGAAGGCAAGATATCCGTCTATCAATTAATGGACGAGTATACTGCGTAGCAGTTCGTTCTGTTCTTCTTTACGGCTGCGAAACGTGACCATTAAGAGTAGAACCAAACCAATAAAGGCATTTTATGAGTTAGTGATAACAGTGGAATGAATTACATTAGTAAACATAATGAATAAAAAGTACAAGTTGGTAGTGCGATGAAAGGTATGCTAGCTGTGATAAGTCAGTCAGCTACAACGTAGGACCAAGCACATATACGCATCGGTCGAAGTTGCTATACCTCATTAGCACAACAAGATGATCACCAAACGCATAGAAGCGGTTACTTTAATGGTAGTATATAAAAAAGGATTTCATATAAGGATCTGATACAGGGAGAAAGAATTAGTTCGTAGAAAGAAAGGTATAAAGCAATTTTAATCTCACGGTTTAAGGGAAGACAGAGAGTATATACATCTACGCCATTGTGATCGATCCTGAGCCATGTCACACCGAGTCTTCAACCATTGGTTACGATAGTCACGTGGATCCAAACCAAGTAGTCTGCATCTACCAACATGGCTCAGACTAGAAGTTAGTGACTTAAAGCACTGATACCATGTTTTGCTTTGACCACCCTTAACTTTCTTCCAACCATCCCCAACAATAGTCAGCAGTGCGCTTCGTGATAGTCAGTGTTCAGGCATACGTAACAGGTGGCCCAACCATCTCCATCGACGAAGATTCACAATCTCATCAACTGATTTACCATCATTCCCTACCCTACGTCTAACCTCACTATTACTTACCCGGTGATCCCAACAGATGCAAGTAATATTTCTGAGGCATCTGTGGTTAAATGCTAGTAGCTTACGACTATCTTTCAGATTTAAGCAACTGGATAGTTTGCAAATATCGCTGGTGCAAGCTTATGAAAACTGGTAATATTTCGTGACTACGATTAAACGGATTTCTGGAACAAATTATTTAGTATACTTTGTGTTACTGGGATATTTCATATTAATCTACAAATCATAACTAAATCAGACGACAAATCTACTCATTACCTGATATTCCTTTAAGCAGGTTGCGGTCATTAACTCGTACATTTCGAACATCTTTCTGTTTCGTACTTGTTTATCTTGATTTCCTATGTTCATTTTTACTACTATTGTGCCCTTATTTTCACGTAATTTGAGTTGTGATATCTTGAATTAATACATCAACCACCCATTTAGTATGTTGTTGACCTTCATGCAGGATTAAAGGTACTACTGAACTGTTAAATCCGAAGTGACCAGATTGCGATGTGAATATTTGATCTAGTATTTGAGGGTTCTTTTACTTTTGGCTTACAGTACTGAATATCCTTAACAGGCAAGCAAACATTATGCATCGGTAAGGTTTTCTTAGTAATTTATGTATTTTCCTCGTGATCCAATGAAGCGGGACTCGAAACGAACCCACTGATTAGAAAACGAGTCCTTGAATTATTTATAAGAGCAGTGGCTGTGTATTCAAAGCGATCCAATTTTAACTAGTAGTTCCTAATTTCGGGACAACCAAATATTACCAGTAGCCGCCACTTAAAACATTTTACCGAAATTCTAGTAGACGAGCCTATGTTCATTTCTAGGTTAAATCTAAAAATGAAACATCTATTACAGCAAAATGGTTGGTCACAGTCAAATAGATGTTGGGAAAAAATCGATGTATTTATTGAATATATTCTAATAAGGTTTCAATAAATATGCAATTGATAGCATAGCTTGCATCATATTGAGGTTTCTATTTACAAGTTGCTAAATAAACAAAATTAGATTGTCTTTTTACGGATTCAAAACTACAAACCTGAAAATAATGGATATTATTTTTTTGGTCTAAACAGTTCTAGAAACCATTAAACCTAACCTAAATGTGAATATTTACAAACTAACTTATAAAAACTGTATATTATTTACTATGTTCTGTTAATGATTCAAACATGGTGTTTACTCACAAATTAATCTTTATTGTTTTTATCTGATTTTCTTTTCAGTCTCCCGTGCTTTCAACTGAATCTTCACTATATGAAAGGTTGTAGTTGTAATGAATAAGAGTACACGAAACCGACCTTTACTTGTCTTTTGCCATTGTTCACCTCTTAGCCGTTGCCCATATTCCAACTCTGTTTGTGTATCGTCAACAGGATGTTTTCATTCATTGCATTTGGATTTATCACTAACATATGTGGATGATGAGTCGTATGGGTGTTTTTCAAATAATACAAATCAGGTTGACTTACTCTGTCGAAATTCAAAGGTTGGTAGACAATTGTTATATTGTTGTTCTCCAGATGATGGGGATTTATGCAATCGGAACTCGAGTTTGCTAGAATTAATCAGTCCTATGCGAATGAATGCTCATGCCTTTACATGGAAATCTATTTTGACAGCAGTGTTGTTCTCTACCTTTGCACTGTTTTGTGGGCTTCTAGCGATCATGCTTTTTTGGAAGTGCTTTTTAAAAAAACGAATAGAAAAATACGATCGCTATGTCAATGAACTTAGCTACAAACGTCCCAGCTTCACTACAGATGTCTACAATTATCTAGTAAAACTCAATGAAGAACAGTTTTCGAATCGTAAGTTATCATCTTATGTCTCACCCAGAATTGGAAATAATCTTTCTTCAAAAAATTTGCATAATCCTGATCCTTCGTGTGAACTTATTAGCTGCACTAGTGGAAGTGGAAGCGGTCTTCCGTTCCTTGTTCAGAGAACTGTGGCACGTCATATTAGATTGACAATGTGTATAGGGAAAGGACGATTTGGTGAAGTTTGGAAAGCTACATGTCAAGGTGAAACCGTTGCTGTTAAGATTTTTTCTAGTCGTGATGAAGCCAGCTGGGCTCGTGAAACAGAAGTTTACAACACTGGGTTATTGCGTCATCCTAATCTCCTGGCGTATTATGCTAGCGACATGATATCAAGAGGTGGGTGCACTCAGCTCTGGTTAATTACAGCGTATCACGCTAACGGATCTTTACATGACTTCATCAGTCACAGATCATTAAAACTACAGGATGGTTTGCGTCTGGCCAGCTCCATTGCAGCAGGCTTAGCATTTTTGCATACAGAAATAAAAGGATTACATGCTAAGCCTTCTATTGCACACCGTGATCTCAAATCGAAGAATGTTCTTGTTATGAGTGATATGACTGCATGTATAGCTGACTTGGGTCTTGCCCTTGTGAATTTACAAAGTCTCCCAGTCGGACAAGCCTTCCTCAATTTATCTTCCTCAATGCTATCTAGTGGTGTTATGTCTAGCGGTATAACTCAATCAGACAGATTGTGCAGTGGACTTTCTGGTCCTTCTTCTTTAGGTCCTCCTCCTGCCGGACCTAGGGTTGGTACTAAACGTTACATGGCACCTGAGTTACTTATGGCGATTGATATAACACACACATCATCTAACTGCGGCAACAATACGTCATGTATAACTAATGAAAGTATTGATAGTCCAAACAGAAGTCACCATTTGCGATTTGAAGTTTACCAAGCTGCAGATATTTATGCGATGGCCCTAGTGTTTTGGGAATTAGCACGATGCACTCAGGGAATAACATCTGATTTTGTTGAAGGATATCAGGTTTGTACATTGACTTTTCCATACTTTGATATTCACTATTATTAAAGGCATTTTTTCTGTTTATCTTACTAATATGAAAATTATATATTGTAAATTAGTGCTGTCGTAAGTATATGAATTTCAGACCGTAATTATTGACAGAGTAAAGTGTTCTATAGTTCAATATTTTTACTCGTGTGCAAAAAGTTCTAAAGCACCAAAGATATTGAAGGATAATAGTTCCTTAGAATTTGAGAGGAAAGTCTGCTTTTCAAATAATCAGCAAACTATGTTTTATCAAAGGGGATCATATTGATTTATTCGGTTTCGTGTGACTCACATTTTCGCAGATCTTTTTTATTTAAATTATTTATTTATTTAAACACAAATATTGGTGCAAAGGGGTACCAAATACATATGCGCCACACAAGTCACTTGATTTGTGTGATATATGACACTGCCCGGATGCCCAAACCGAAGTAGGTAGTTTTCTTAGGAGGCCACACCCGGAGTCTTAGACCTAAAGGTTTGATCCACGAGGCAGTGGAGTAGCGTCAGTAGATACAGTCCCATGGCAATCGGTTACCAATGAGTGGTTCATATGCCAATTGTTCCCTCAGGATCCTGTATGGTTTGGAATCAGGGTTTTCCAACTCCTTTAGGTGGATCCTCTGCACCCACCACCCCGGTTAAAGTGCCGGACATTCGTTTTCATCCTCTCAATCTCGTAAACAACACCCCCATCGCGAAAACGCAGTGAGGACTTCCCTGGCAGTGGTTGTACACACGTAGCCATAAGAGAGCATTTCGAAGAGAGCTGACTCCCCCACCCTTAGCCGCACCAGTGCATTCTGTATCATCAGTTTGAGTATTTTTGTTGATATAATCCCTAAACTGATGAATTTTATTATTTCTAAGTTCTTGTTTTGACTGTTATTATTGATGTTATCAGATCTTTTAATCGAGTCATATGATTTATTAAGGCTCGTATACTAGTGAAAATCCACGAAATTTTACATTTTTGTTACGTTATGCTCTAGATAGCACTACGGTGATTCGAAGTTAAGGGTACATCACTGTGTTGCATCATCTCTAGGACCCCAACCAGGGAGTCGTGAAGGATCGACAGAAGCCAGTCCGCTACAGCTTTCTTTCATATCATGGCACTTTATTATTAATGGCTTTATTCAAGGCCATCCTGCACTTCGTCATGTTTGAACATGTTGACAGACATTTGTTATGTCTGAACGGCTTAATATGATTTCTAAATTTTTAATGAACTGGTCGCTTATGGTGCATAAAATTGTTAAGCTCCGAGGATAGTAAACCCTGTGTGTTATGACATCAAGTAATTGCCAACAACCCAGCAACGTTTATTAGTAATTTTTTATGATTCCTTATAATCTTTTCTACAGATACCATTCTACGACATGGTCCCTCCTGATCCAACTTTCTCACAGATGAGGGATATTGTTTGTGGCAATAGTTTGACCATAAGTGATGATCAACCGAACCAATTGAACAGGAATAGCTCAAGTATAAACACTAAATCCCCCAAGACAAGTCCAGATTACGACAATGTTCATTGTAGGCCTCGCATCTACCAGCGTTGGTTAGATGACACCTATCTATCCTGCTATGCACAGGTGATACAAGAATGTTGGCATGATGATTGGTCTGTACGCCTTTCTGCTCTTCGTGTTCGTAAACGTCTGGGACAGATCGAAGATGCAGTTAGGCAATCATTGGTCAGAAAAAGAGGAGAGAACATTCCTTCTAATGTAAATGAGTTATCAGTACTCCTGACCGAGGACCCAGAAACTTTGGCTTGATTTTCACATTTTCTGATATATCGAAGCTTATCTTTGAAATTTGCATTTAATTTTAGTGTTGTAACTTCCTAAATATTTTCACTTAATAGGTAATTTAATAATTCAAATGCTTTTCTGATTTTTTGATGCCTAAGATAGATGATTGTAGACATATAGGTTTTACTATTGGGTAATAATTTTGTGCAAGAAACTTCTGATGCTTTAGGTCGGTGCCAAACTTGGTACATTAGTACAGTAGCTACTGGATTGATTTTGACAAATATATTTTTTCTGTTGTTTAGAATATTGAAGACAGCAAGAACAAAGATCTAAAATATTTACTATATACCGTTTATATGTAAGACGGCCTGTGATCTATCTTATCACCCTTCTATAAATGTACCGAACAAACAGTTATCGAATCTCACCGAAATACCCGATACTAGAAGGGTCATATTTTTGCATAAAGTATGTTTGTTAAATATTAATTAGTAAGTGTATATTTAACGGTAAGACGTTGCGTTAATGGGTTGAACGCTACTATTGTTTAGGACTTGAGAAACATTGTACCCCTCCATGTAATTGGTTTCCTTCATAAATCTAACCAAAGGGCGTTGGTGTTTGGGTCCTGTTATTGGGCGAAATAGCAAAATGTTTAGCCGTTATACGCCAACTTTATATGAGTACACTAATTACCGCTTTTAATGCTAAACCACCAATAACCCAGTTATTGTAGACAGGGTAGACAAAACCGATTCGGTCATTCAAGTTAAATTTATTTTGGCAGAATGTCTTTCTAATGGTAATCCTTTTACATTCACCAATGCGCTTGGTGTTTTATTTCTTTACAAATGAGTTTTGTTGAGAAAATCCACCAACAGCTATAACACAGGAAGAACTAGTTCAGTAAGACAGTTAAGTACTACAGGGATAGAAATACACATTTATCGAACTGTTACTACCTGGTAAATATAAAAAGCAATAAAAGATGCCACATATTGCTAGAGCATCACCAAATGATAAGCTTCAGAAGTAACACAAGAAGGCTATCAGTCCTAATTTCGGAAAAGCACCCGTGAAATTAATCTTGGTGTGGGGTTATTGTGAGCTTAGTGCAATAAATAATTTCTCCTGGCCTCGTTAATCGCCAGGATAAGCCTTTTGATGGGTCAAGTGGGATTGGTGAGAAAAGACATTCGACCACACTAAATATAGGAGGACATCTAGTGTGTAAAATTGATCCCAATTGTTGACTGCTTCAGATTGTGTTAACTGTAATTCTAGTCTGTGCTCGCTTAACTCGGCGAGTGTTGTAGGAGTAGGCTGGGAGAAAGTTATGGGCAGCCAAACCAAAACATGACATCAGACCATGGAGACATTGAAAATGGGACTCAGTCACATTGATAGGTGAATAACATGGATCAAAATCGTTCACGATGTTCCATGTGCAGCTTTTTTTGTTTCCCCCGAATTATGGGCTTCTGAGTTCCTCATAACTTTGTCTTTATTTTACTAATTCATACTTTCTTGGGTCGTTTCTTTGATCACTAGTCTTCTCTGAAACCACTCATTCTGTTACCTCTTCTATTCCGGGATTTATCCTGACAATTTCACCTCCTTATGCTATTGGGTTATGAAGACTCGAACCAATGTACACACTTATCAGGTTCTGCGTCGAATCTCTTTCTTGATTGTTGCTTACCATAGGATTAGATAGTCAAAATCTGAAGACATGGTTATTCAGTAGTTATATATGCATTCTTTATGACAAGGGCCCTCAAAATAGCCTAGATAGACTGAAATATGGCTAAAAACAAGTTAGTGGTGCATATGCATCTTACCCTTCGTCTTTACTTAATCTTATCCTTCACTCTTGCAACTCAAGCCAGGACTCAGGTTGATCATATCGCAGTCAGCTACAACTGGGGTGGTTGTGTACAAGACTTATATAAACTCTAATTGAGCTAATCATACCTTACTTTTCAGTGGCCAGCATATCCATCATCATAAACAGATTGGCGTAAGTAAATTGGTTGCAGCTCTCGTTGCAAATAAATATCAAAGCGAGCTAATGTTTGAGGTAAGTTATCATACCCATCGAAAAGTGCAGATCAGCACTAGCTACAGTTGGATGACGCCATGAAAATGGGGAGTACAGTCACTGGTGGCTTCGCGAAACGTCCGCCAATAAGTACTGGGATTTGTACAACCTCCTTATATTTTCATGAAGCACGTAGGTTTGCTCCGACCAGCTGCGAGTTTGACAGTAAACGTAAATTCTTATGTAGAAAAATTGTGTCAAGTTTGCTAGAGGACCAAAAAGCCTGGTATTCAGAGCATGCTGACGGGTTGGAAGCAGCAATGACATATTATAAGTCATCCGAGTCACAGGCAACAAAAAGTCTGATGTGAGTGAAAAGACCTGTGAAGCAGATTGGACGACAATCAATAACAACTACAATCAGGAGTCTTTCAAGGAACGATTCGGTTAGTCTTCTGCCCTAGTGACATCGGTTAGACTGTATTGTCTTCGATGGCCGGTGATGACACCCACCTAACGAGGCAGAAATCCGCAAGAAACTCACTCTCGAAGCACCGTAAACCACCGGGCTCTGAAGACTTACCCGCATATCGTTTTCAGGATGTCGACACACTTTCAACCAAGGAATTTGACTGAGTTGTTTGGGCTTCTGTTATACTCCGAAGTTTATAAAGAATTTACTCTCAAGAAGCAGGCTGGTTTTCGTTCTGCTCAGGGATGTACTGTTCATATTTTCGCTTTCCATCAAATGTTAGGAGGCCTCTATACTTATTGCGGGCCAACAATCGTTGGTCTCTTGATCTCAGGGCCGCCTTCGATCCGTTGGACGGTACTGTGCTCTAGGATTATCTGCTAAAGCGTGTGCTTGATAAGCTTCTTAAAATACTGAAGGTTCCATATACAAACACACGAGGCATAAATAGGACATACAAGCCCCTCTCTCCATTGTCGCATCTAAGCCGTGAGGTCAGGCAGGATTGCCCAGTCTAACCATTCCTCTCCAACTCTCCCGTTGACGTCATTCTGAAAACAGCCTTGACATATGGAGGTTGGCGGTAGCGTGGATGTTACCTGAGGGTCGACCGGAGTATCCGGATATCGCCTTACTATTATGTAATACCCCCATCATGCAACCCGACCTTAATCAGTGTTCGTAGACATAGCTAATGTTTTCCTCTACAAATTCCAAGTGCTTTTACGAAGCCCTGAACATGCACTCACTCCTGGTATTCGAAAAGTGACTGGTGGAATCATTTTACATTTTGGGGAAGCTTTAGCGTCTTATGTCAACCCTGTTCATCTTTGGGTCGTTATAATTCTAGTTTGGCTGTAGAAAGTGTAGTTTATAGTGCGTCGGTAAAGCAGTTTTATTCTATGCCTGTGGCCTCTCCAGGTTGTGGATGTAAGGCAACTCTGTGGTTGACTCTGAAATATTGCTAATATTCAGCAGCAACACCGTATTAGTATCGCCGATGTTTCGTGAAGTGTGCTTGGACAAAATGATCATTCAGTGTGCCATCTTGAAACACCAACTTTGGTGGCTCAGATATTTATTACGAATGTCGTCTCAATGATTCTCATATTTTGCATCGCTTCCCGACTGTGGGACTGGTTGGGAAAAGCGGACAGATGGTCAGTTTATGGAATGGTGCCTTGGTATAACAGTAGGTGTATGGGACTGGGACCGTCCACAACTCTCTGGTAGGGGGTCCTAGAGACAATCTAATTTGGTGGCTTGAAATGCTATCAGACATGTCTCAGAAGAGGTTAATGGCTGTCCACACTTCTTTAGCTAAGAGGATCTCTTGGGATTGATTTTATCTCAACTGAAATGATTTTCCCATTTGTTTTCACTACTTCCATCCACTGATTCTTAATATTTTTTAATAATTACGCACACCTTTATCGCTCCTCTCCTTTTAGCACATATTTCCGTGCCCGTTTATACAAACATCTGTGTCCATCAGTTCGTCCGGTTGTAACTATCTATATCACGATCCCAAACATACTGTCTCAGTATAGTATTCGGCTGCCTTTCAACCATCACTACAGACCGCAGACGTCAGTTCGAATCTGAACTTTTCCGTCGTCTGACCACACTATTAGGAATGACTCGCTTCCAAACGACCACCTGTCACCCACAAGCAAACGGGTTGGTAGAACGCTTTCACCGACAACTAAAAGTGTCACTATCAGCTACAAACGTTTCACAGTAGACCGACGCTCTTCCACTCGTCTTACTAGGTATTCGTAATGCAGTGAAAGCTGATATTGGATACTCTTCGGCTCAACTCGTTTATGAAACGACACTTCGACTTTCAGGAGAATGCGTTGATCCTTCATCCTCTTCAATGAGAATGGATCTAAACTCCTACACGAACAGACTTACAATTGCAATGCGTTCAGTTAAACCTGTTTCTTCTCGACCTCAATCAACTGTTTTCGTTCAACTTGACTTATGATATAGTACACACGTCTTCGCGCGTCGACGACCTTTCGAATCAGAATACTAGGGACCTTTCAGAGTTCTTCAACGCCAACCGAAGTACTATATAATCGACAAGGACGGAACCAACAATAGCATCAGCATCGATCGCTTCAAACCAGCGTATTTAGAAAGAAATCCTAACTACGTCGATTTTCCTTCGTTACAATCGAACGACACGACTCCGACACTTACAATACCTCATCCGACGACAACCAGCACGCACGATGGTACTTCGACAGTATCTGGAAATAAACTTAAAACAACGTGTTCTGGCAGAAGAGTAAGAGTTGCAGAACATCTTAATGACTATTACACGTAAGACACTAGTTAACATTTTGTTTCATCTCGGTTTTCCATGGCATTATATATAATATAAAAAATCTTTAATATGCTTACATTTATTATTTGGCTACTATGTATATTTAAAAAAATGTTTTGAAAAAAACATTTTGTAAGATTCGCTTTTACGTTATTTACACTTTTTCGCCCATTTTGTCTTAAAGCGCGTACGAGTTTATTTTGACATGCACTTACGTATTCTTTTTTTATTTTCCAGGACGGCTGGAAAATACGATAAAAAGAACGGTTAGGTTTACGAGGA